GGTAGGAAAGGATGCTTCATTATCATTTCCATCAGGTCTCTCAGTCCTTCGGCATACATGTCAATCCTGTAATCGGACCAGATGTTTTAACGCCCATAAGAGTAGGATTCTGTCACACTGCACACACAGGAAAAGGAAGAAAATCAAATGATTTGGGTCAGGGATTTGTAATCAGAGGTCCCCACAAAGGGAAACATTTCACCCCAACATTAGCTGAAGGTAAAATTCTCTCTTACATAACAGATTTACTCTCTAAATCCAGACCACTCGTGCAAATAGGAGCTTATTCAGCATTACATTTTTATAGTGCATCAATGGCCCTAGATTTTCTGCATCAAAATTGGTGTAACCTCTGAGTAACCCTTCAAAACTTAGCCTGCCCATTCTATTCCTAGACAGCACGTTTGAGTGTTGAGAGTTATGAACCAAGAGTAGTTTCAAATCTTTATCACTACATAAACTTGTGCTTCTAAATAGAGGACACATTTACACTCATGGGCACAGATAGACTGGCATCCTGTCTCACCTTGCGCTGTGTCTCCAGGGTTTTGCTCCAACTTGCTCAATAATAGCAAGGATATGAATTGGAGAACCTTCATTAAACACCCCTGCCAGCCCTGGTCCTGGACAGCACCAATCCACTAGGTTTTATAGATGACCATTAAATTGCTCATTTCTAAAAGCTTGGAAAACGTTTGACTGAATATGGATGATTTGTTCAATTCTACCATTTACAGATCATTTGGAACAAATAAATTCTTAACCCTCAAGGTCCCAAACTTTTGATTGAAATGGACCTTTTACTGGATTGGGGCTTTTTCCGGAACCTCAGAAGCCCCTGCTCTGTAGGGTGCCTTAATTCTGCTTGTCTCAAGGGTATCATTCTCTAAAAAAAAGGATGTTTGCCTACCAAAACACTCCTGGCGAGAGTAATAAAAACACAACTTCAATCTGTCATTCTTACAAAAACATGCCTGACTCCAGAATGACCTCCAAGCTAAAGTAAGTCATGACTACCTGAGGGAAAAGCACAGTTTGTAAACCACATCGAAGCAGTGAAGGAAATACGCCAAAGAAAGACAACTCAATCCAAAAAGAAGGTCTTACATGACTCTCTCTTTCAGGTCTTTCCCATACAGATTGTACTTGGCAGATATATAGTTCATGATGGCTTTGCTCTGCACAAGCTTCATTCCATCCATTTCTACCATGGGAACCTGCTCAAACATCAGAGATCCATCTGGCACAAAGACAATGGAGCACATGGTTAACTAAATCAGTCATTAAAATCCATGAACAGCAACTCGGTTTCTTAACTTTTATTTCAGTAGTTTCAATTCTAACGAATGCAACGGACAACAGATTTTTTGGGGGGAAGAGTGTATTAAACTTTGGCATACCTTTTTATGCCAAGAAAACGGCAGCGTCACCATAAGGTCAATTCTGACAAAAATCCCTAATTTTCCCTAATCCCGAGGAATGAGTCGGGGAGAGGCTCCAAGGGTGAAGACGGAATAAGTCCTTCGTACACCTGATCCACCTATTTTAAAATTCGAACATGTCTCCTGTGTTTATTTTTTTATTCTGTTTATATTTTCTCCTACGGGACTCCAACTGTCTAAAATTGTGGAACCTGTATATTAAGCAGAGAAATTTCCCTACCTGAATAGTGCAAAAATGAAATTCCACCCATTTTCAACTACGGAGCTGCCTACTGCTCACCAACAACCGATTGATTTAGTATGTTTTGAAGATCCCTCTTTGGCACAGATAAGGCTAAATAGTGAAATAATTAAAAGATGGAAAAGTAGAGTAGGTTTCTCAAATATGAGGAACCTACCCTAATTTTCCCTAACAGTTTTGCAATAAAGTTTCGACATACCTTGCAGCAGCTTTTCATATTGCTCTCTGGTCTTTAAATGTACCTCTTCAAACTGTGGAAGGT